TGTTTTTATCCTTTAAAATATATAATAAGTATTTAACATGTAGAAAATCCTACTTGGAATATATGGAGAATGGGTTGTTGCGATGATTTGTTTATTTTAAAGCTATTTTATATACCATACATAGATTTTTAAATCTGAAAAAATTCAGTAAAGGAAAAAATAATACTCAATATGGCTTTCATGTTAACTATGATTCAGAATACATTTTATTATTAACCTCTAGTTATTTTAAACTACTGCATGGAGATAGAACTCTTTTTAAAAAGAAATTGGCATTAGCCTTTCTCATAAAAATATAGCAAGTGAAAACCTCATTAATACTAGTAATTTGCTTTTATGTGACTTGAAAATCAGAAATGGAAGTTGAAGTCCATGGTGAACACCTCAAGGTGAAATGTCTTATAGATGAAGCCACCTCAAAAAGATTTGCTTTTGATTTTTCACTAATTAAACTCCTTTGAGAACAATCTCAGACTCTTCTTGAATTGAATTCCATTCTGTAACAAATACTTTCATGAGGTGGTTTTAAGTTAGGTTTTAAGCCACAAAGTCTTGTAATTTAATGTAACATCTTTTTAGGGTGGTAGGAGAGTGTCATTTTTTGATAAACCTAGAAATTAACATATACAGGGATATGCCAGGGTGGCTTACAGAAAATTTCTCAATCATAATAGTATGACAGGGAATAGTTTCCAAATTATTAAAGCCTTGTTATTAACCAATTTTTCAAATTGAATTTCAAAGTCTTGAACAGAATTTAAAATTTGTTCATTATATGAACAGCTATAAGTAATCTTACTGAGATTGTTACCTTTTTATTGTCTACAATGTGAATGTTAAATAATGGAAGCTAACTTGGTAATGGTTGTCATAAATCTTTGTTGCTTGATAAGATAAAAATGGGTAGAATTTTGTTTCTGTGAGAGGTACCAGTCTTCTTTACTCTTTATTGTCTGAACAATAGTGAATTAGTAAAACTGATGGTGTCAAGTTTGTAGCATCCATTTAAGAAATATTCTATAAACATGACAT